TATATATATATATATATATGTATATGTGTGTATGATAGGATGCAAGGACGTCGATGATCGGAATACTTACTCGCTGTTGAGCACCCGGAAGGATTTGGGTGACATACAATTGACGCTCCAGTCGGTGTTCCCGTGCTCGTTGCATATCGTTATCGAGAACCTTCCGTAATTCGCTCTGATAAGATGGATCAGCTTTCCCTCGCCGCACTCGATCCACAATGTTTTCCCCTCGCAGGCGTACGCGGTGTCGTACCTATCTGTAACAGAAATGACACAAAATTACTTAACCGATGTATATAACATTTCAACTACTACTTGAAGACGATCGAAATAATTAAAAATATTCTATTTTTCAAAGGTGTAATCTCTCTTGGAAGGAAGGAAACTTGACTTGCGTTAAACGAACAATCGTCCCAAAAAATATAGTTTAAACGAGTTATTCCGTTCGGTGAGGACGAGCAAGGGGAACTTTATCGTTTCAAACCGAAGCCTTCTTGGCAATATTTCATTTCATCGCTCGAAAACGCAACGAGTGGTCTAATTAGTCGGCGCGATTCGTGAGAACAAGGAGAAAAGGGATAAAATAGCGCGGAGTCACGAGTCGCAAAACTGCAAGGGAGTAAACACCGAGGGCCTTTCGTTCGTTCACGATAGCCAGCCAGACGGGAGGAGGGGTTGAATTACGAGCGAGTGAATAAGGAATCCGGGGAGCAGAGGTGGGAAGGGGATTTGAGATTTGCAAGCGGCGAGAGAGTCAAGGACACGTCAAAGTGGCTTTGCACGAAATTACAGTGACGAGTCGGTTGGGGAGAAGGCGGTTGGGCCGGGTGGTGGTTGTTGCCGGGCAGAAGGGGGTGCATTACCGACACGCGCTTGTTGTGCAGGCCCGTGTCGCGTTTCCAAGTGTAATGGAATTAAGATAAAGGACACCGGTGTATAGACGCGCGTATATACAGGGGACGCAAACAATGAGACATCGTTGAGAGAGAGGGGACTGTTCGAGAAACGGAAGATCGAGATAGCCGGGGCTCCGACTCGGTCTTTGTCGATCCCCAAACCCCATCCACTTCGAATTTATCCCGCGGAAAATGCCCTCGCGCCAGATTTCCTTTGAAAGCGAATTAGCGAATTTACAGGCGCGACTTTCTTCGAAGAAAAGTCACCCTCCCCTCTTCCTTTCGCTCCTTGGTCCTTGGTCGTCTCGTGACCAACGCACGAGGATCCAGTGATTATTTTGGTTTAATGGCCGCGAAAATGGTTGAAGTATTATGGGGACGTTCCGTGTTTTCTCGAATTATTTTAAAGCATATATTCTGCTTATATTCCGTTCTCGATATTTCTCGTTATTTATGTGCAGGATGGACAATTGCGATTCGAGAAAACGGAAGATATACGAGCAAGATGAAAGGGGTTGGTGAGAAAACTAACAGTCGTGAAACTAGGTTCGAGCTTATTTGGACGGAGGAATGATAGATCTGCCATAATACCGGTCAGCCTTAACCCGAGTTAAGGTGACGAGGCGAATGCGGGCGGTTGTGTCTCGAAGAAGGAAGAAGGTGGCGAGAAGTATCCCGAGAGGAACGAACCGAGAGAGAGAGGTGGCAAGAAACGAGAGGAATAGAGACTGGTCTACTATAGTCGAGAAGAAGGGGTGTAATAACTCTGTCCCGTGAAAGCCCCGTCGTGAGTTCATTAGTTCCATACGGACGCGCCACAATGCCATTTTAGACCGCTGTTAGAACCTTCTCCAACGCCGACCTGTTTCTTCTTCCAAATGTATTCCAAATAATCGGCGAATCGAAAAAATTCTAACGTTTTTAAAATTCTTCCTAAAGCGTTATAAATATAGGAAAAAGAAAAAGGAAAAAAAAAAAAAAGGTGCGAAAAGTGATACGAGATCGATATCGGCTTATTAACGATCAATACAGTTTTTAGCCCGATCGTTTCTTCCTAAATCCGAGCCATCGAAGCCGCCGAACGAGAAACAAAAAGAAACAAACGAGTTTACCTTTAATAAGGTAAACGTGAGCCTATCAACGTCGATTCGACAAAGAGTGTAAACTTTGCACGCTCGTACAGGGTACAGGTGTAGTATACATTAGGAAGAAAGGAGGCGTAAAAACGCAGGGCGTTTCGAGCGGCGCGAAGAAACGCCGATTTTACGGTATCTCGAGGCTTTCCATTACCGTAAAAGATCCGAAGGAATTCGTTTTAAACGAGAACAAAATCGCCGGTCACGCTACAACGGATTCCTCGAGCCGAGCCGAGCGGGGTGAGGGGGCGAGAGGGGCGGGAGAAAATAGTAGATTTTATAGGATCCAAGTAATTTCTCACCGGTTTCCTTCCCTAGGTGTTCGTGCCGAGCCACGGTTTGTCCGCCGTTAATTAAGCCTGTCTCGATAACACCATAAGCGGCAGCTAATCGATACACGCCTGTATCATTGTGGTTTTCGACGAGTCGGCGTTCGAAGCAGAAACCAGCCGTCCGTCGTATCGTGCGTATCACGGAACGCACGACTACTTTGCTACTGCGAACGAGGAATAACCCTCGGCTTCCGTGAAACGAGCGTGTGT